TTTTTTTTCATTTATTTTTATTAGTTGGAGGCTAATTACTTTACAATATTGTAGTGATTTTTGCCATACATTGACATGAATCAGCCATGGATTTACATGTGTTCCCCATCCCGATCCCCCCTGCCTCAGGGCCCTTTTCTAACTGGCATAGTTTTTGGTGAAAATCGGGGGCTGACTGACTTATGAACTGGACGTGTAGGTATAGGAGTCCGACGGGGGTGGAAACATCTAGGTTTGTGCATTTCTGGACTGCCTCAGTAAGCCGTGAAAGAAAAAGGGCAGGATTTTCATCCTTTTCTTGAGTCATTTCCCTAATCCTATCGTAGTTAACATGAATGTGAGAGCTTTTTAGCATTCCTTCTAGTAAACAGGTGATCATATGATGTAGGTACTAGAGGCCAGCATTGCCGGTTTGATGTGTCCACCGTGGCTCAGTTAAAGGAACTGCGTCATCAGCCACTGGACTAATCCTATCTTGGTTATGGAGCTGATCAGCATGAACTCGGGTTGCCTGCCATATCCGTTCCTTTTCATCAGGGGTTAAAGTGGCATTTAGGATGTAATAAAGATCTTTCCAGGTTAAATGATATGCTTGTGTAAGGCGGAGAAATTCCTTCCTGTATCTAGTAGGATTTGCTGAAAAAGATCCCAATTTTTCTCCAATCTGGCTCATATCAGAAATTGAGAAAGGCACATGAGCCCGTATAGGGACCTCTGGTCCCGCTGCCTCCTTGAGAGGAAACACATGTTTGCTTCAGGTCCTGGTTGATGGAGGGGGTTGGAAATCTCTTTCGGAGTTTTGGGGTCATCGCTTCCCAATTTGGAGGAGGAAGGGCTAGAGGGTGGGGTCTTGTCTCCGGAAGCCTCATCTCTGGGACTGTAGGGAGGAGGCTCATCTGCCGGGTTGAAATCGGGGGCTGAGGGTTTAGGGGTCTTTTAGGGGCTTTAGATTTGGATTCTTTTGTAATGGAGGGGGACAGAGAACAGAGGAGGATTTGATAGGTAGAACAGTCCTTGAAGAGAGAAGGACGGCTTCTAAGGTCCGAGAAGGCTTGAATATAGGGGACCTCTGATCATTTGCCATTCCATTCAAGGAAGTTAGTGAGATCTGATAAAATATTGTAATTGAAAGTCCCAAACTCAGGCCAGCAGTTTTGGTTATCCCATTTGTATTGAGGCCAAATGTGACTCCAGTTTATGAACCTTGAGATCGGTCAAGAGCAGCGGTTTGAGGTTTCATTTTATGCAGGCCAAGGGAGAGTCCTGTGGGACGGATTGGTTTGACCCCATAGCAAATGGCTAGCGACTGTCCGGTCGAGAGAAAAGGTCGTCACCTAATCCTTCGGCCAGGAAAAGGGAGAGAGAGACTCTGAAGGAGGGAGGGGCAAGCCCCAAGTTCCTCCCCAGAGGGCCTTTAGGCCGGAGGGTTCCCCGGGAACCCGGAAAGGACGATAGTCTATGGCGCCCTAGAGAACCAGCCGAGCTTACCTGGGTCAGGCGAGAATTCGTGGTGGATGGAGGGAGGTTGAATGGTAAAAGGCCTCTGTCCTGGAGTTGGTCGGTCTCGTGAAAAAGAGAGTGTAGAGAAAAGAAGAGAGAGAAGGAGGCCAGTATTCCTTGGGGTACGTGAAAAACCCATGAAGCCCTTAGACAGGGCTTGTATCACTCACGCAGGCACAGGGCGTCCTCTTGAGGAGGTCTTGAAAGCCCAGGCGGGAAAGTGAGCTCGGCAGCCTTCCACGCTCCGAAGAGCTGGCCGTAGAGAACGAGAGGGAACCTCAACCTCCCGGTTTCGGCACCAAAAAATGTAAGGTAAGGGAGTTAGAGAAGGTGAGGTTCGAGAAAAAAAAAAAAAAACATGAGACGGACACTTTACAGGAATAGATCACCTTGAATGAGGCGAGAAGGGGCAGCAGTCAGATTAGTGCGCTGTGGCGCTAAGTCAAGAAGAGAGGTATATATAGAAAACATGTATGTGTGGAGATGTATCATTTTGAGGGGGTCTGTTTTTCCTCATGATTATTTTTGATTGGTTAGCTTTCAACAACTGGGGTAAGGAACTCCTGAGACTGGCCGGAAACTGGGATCGGCTGGGAGCTGAATGTAATCAATCTTAATGTCCACTCCTTTCTTCGGGGGAGAAAGTTCTTTATTCTATATAGAATGGTGGGGAGGACCTGGAGGGGAGTTTTAACTCCAGGCTATTTTGAGCCATGTAGCTTCCCTTCAGTCAGTGTGTTGAATGACAGCTTCACATGAATTACTGAAACTTAGAAGTTGGTAATAGCTTGGGCCATGGGTGGTACAGGGCCAGTTAGTGAAAAGCTTCCACTATAATCAGCTGTGTGTTCATCATATATTCATCATGTGTCCCCAGTGTTAGTCCATGATTTATAGTATAAGAAGGGCTTATACTATAAATGGACTGGACTACAGTCCAAAGGGTCACAAAAAGTCAAACATGACTGAGTGACTAAGTCGAATGGACATTTAAAAAAGTAAGTTATTGCTATTTCAGAAATGTCTGTGTATTCTTAGGCTATATTGCCCAGCATACAGCGTGTTTTTAATAAATGTTGACCAGTACTGAACTAAATTAATTTTTTGCAGGTCATCTAAAATAACACATCAGAGACTTAAAGGCTCTACTTGCTAATCCATTTTGGTTAAAAAAATCAAGTCATGTTCAGTCAGAGAGAGCAAAGGTAACGGTTGTTTTTATGTCCTGTGAATAATGATTATCGGTCTATTAAACACCAGTAAGAGTTTAACCATGGGATTAAAACAGAATTACTTCAGGGAAACCATGAAACTAACTGCCTGGGGATATCAACTCTGACTCTCTCACTGATGCCACTCATTTCGTTGGTTTTGTTTTTCCATTCATAAAGTGGAGCTAAAGATAGTCTGATATGCGTCTCCTCAAAGGATGACTCGTCCACTTAAATCACGGTTCACATTGCATGACTGGAAAGTAGAACAGAAGGTGCGTGACTAGGTTCTTAGCCATTTTGGGGAAGAACATGAAAACTCATGACAGTAGTTTGTCATTTAGTTCATCTCTGTAGTACATCAGTTAAGAGATTTGCTACAGTGTGAAGGCAATGAACTGAACAGAACTGAGGGCAGTGAGTGTGGGGGTGGGGCAAAAGGAGAGGAAGATTTGGTCCTTTCTTCGTCATCTCTTTCTCAAGAGACTCCCCTTCAACTCCCCTTCAGGAAGTGGAATAGGAAAAAACAAAAAAAACACTACATTCATCAATTTCTCTGGGGCAACCACAACTTAGGCAGTAAGGAGGTCACTTGAAACAAGGACAGAGATTGCTATAAAACTGACAGGTACTCTCACTGATGCCACATTGGCACACACAAGGCGACACGGGCTCAGAAGGAGTTTCCTGCACTACGCAAGCGACCAGAGCAAAGTGACAATGACTGTCCCGTGTGACACGGCCGTGGTGAGTGGTCAGCATCACCCCTGTGCGGGTGCAGTTAGCCCTAGGATTTCAGGAGAGCAGATTTCTAAGGAATGAGGCTGGATTGGGGTGTTTTGGGGTTTCATTTCTTTAAAACACAGAGCTGACTTTAATACTGACCCTGGTCTGTTGGAGAAAAAGAAAAAGTAGCCAGAAGTTATAGTGGGGTGAAAACCATAGCTCTTTACCAACGGCTTTGGCATGGTTGGCATTAGTTTGTGAAATTCTTGGCATCACCAACTGGACTTGGTCTTTGCTTATAGAGTTAAGTTGGCCCTATCTCCTGGGGAAGCTTAGCCAGCCTTTTAGGATCTATACAGATTTATTTTAACCAAGGAAGCTGGGGCCCTGAGAGGGGTGATGATTCTCCCAAGATAGCTGGCAAACAAGGAGTGCCTCTGGATGCAGGGAGAGAAACCACCTAGCGATGCACTTGGACAGTTCCTGGGGGAGGGACCTGGTTTCACCACTTACTAAATGTGGGATATGGGATAAGTTACCTAAGCTCTCTGTGCCTTGTTATTCCTCTGTGACTTATTATCCTCTCATCTTCCTCATGGAGGATTAACTGATATCATTGAGCGTGATAAAACCTATACTCTAAAATAGCAGATCTCTGCAGGCATAGCTTCTAGTTAACTTGGCCACTTAATATAATGAACAATAAGGACAGAGAAAGAATTCAGTGAGTATTTTTTTTTCAAATAGAAGTAAAATTGATTTGCAATGTCGTATTAGTTTCTGGCATATAGCAAAGTGATTCAGTTATGTATAACAGAATAAATAGATCATCATTTCCATTATGGTTTATTATAGGATATTGAATACAGTTTCATGTGCTAACAGTAGGTCTTTGTTGATTATCTATTTTATATGTAATAGTGTACATATATTAATCCCAAACTCCTAATTTATCTTTCCCCCCACCCCTCTTCCCCTTTGGTAACCATCCGTTTGTTCTATATGTCTGCAAGTCTGTTTCTGTTTTGTAAATAAGCTCATTTGTATCATAGTTTAGATTACACATACAAGGGATAGCATACATTTATCTTTCTCTTTCTGGCTTACTTCACTTAGTGTGATAATCTCTAGGTTCATCCATATTGCTGCAAATGGCATTATTTCATTCTTTTTTTATGGCTGTGTAATAGCCCTTGTATATAAGTATCACATCTCCTTTTTCCATTTGTCTGTCGATGGACACTGAGATTGCTTCCGTGTTTCAGCTATTGGAAACAGTGCCCCTATAAACATTAGGGTGTGTGTATCTTTTCAAATTAGAGTATTAAATACTAATACTAATTATGTGATTATTTTTACCTCTGAATCTCCCACCAACTTAATGTAGCGAAGTGGGACTGCTTTCTCCATTGTACAGATTAACAACAGTTCAATGAATTTAAGTGATTTAACATCATCAGATGCTGTATGCCCACGAAAAGGGACATGAGTCTAGGTTTATGACTTCAAATACAACATTCTGCCCTTGAATGGTTTAGAAGCAAGATTTCTGAACTTAAAGCCATTGTGTTTAAACAAATTTTTGGTAGTTTTGTGTTCTAAAGCCATGTCTATTTCTGGTTTCTCTGAGGAAATCTGTTGGACTGTCAGCAAGAAATATGACAGGGCAAAGGACCTTAGAATAGTATTAGAAATTGGAGGTGCAGGCACATGGGACATCCTCAATAGAAAGCGAGGCAAATCTCATGGACTAGGAGCTCGCTGGGTTCTGGAGCACATCTCTACGTGGGGGTGAGCACAAATCACAGGTGATCTCAAGAGACAAGTGTTCAGATATTCTCCTAGGGGAGTTCATAATAGAGTAAGTACAGGAGCTGAGCATGTCGGTGTCCTGACACTGCCCACCTTCCGCTGGTGCTTTCTCTTACCTCTGTTTCCTATGAGACAGAGAAGGCGTGATGTCCATTTGCCTGCCTCATAGATGGCATGGAAGAATTGTTGTCCGACTGTTTTGCGACCCTATTAACTGTAGCCTGCTGGCTCCTCTGTCAATGGAGTTTTCCAGGCAAGAATACTGGAGTGGGTTGCCATTTCCTTCTCCAGGGGATCTTCCCCACCCAGGAACAAAAGCCGCATCTCCTGCATTGGCAGGTGGATTCTTTACCACTGAGCCCCCAGGAAAGCCAGCACAGAAGAATCTGGGACTAAAATAATCTGAGCCTCTCAGAGAAGTGCGCTTCTGTGTATCATTCTTAAGAACCAGCATGAATTTTATCCAGCCCCTGGTCTGTGTTTCATAACCACTGAAATCTACAATTTCAGATCAAAAGCTTCATGCAGCACACGAGAGTGATTTGCAGATTTCATCTGATTTCTGATAAAAAGCTACATGACCTACGACACTGATGCAGTTCTGACACGGCTGTCACATGGCTTAAAATGCCTGGCTCCTCTAGTGAGACAAAGTTGAGACGAAACACTGTGGGTGACTCTGTGTTGATGACAACAGTAAGGAGCTTCAGGGGCTGTGGCAGCACTGACCACAGATACCTCATTTGAGTCCTCAGGCTGCCACTAGCAGGCTGGAGAGCATCAGACAGAGCTTCTTCACCTGCCTTATTGGGGTAACTAATATGAGCTCTACCTATCCTTCAAGGTAGGTGTGAGAATCTAGAGATTACAGAGATGTGAAAGTGTTTTCTATAATACTCTAAAGATACAAGCAAATATAATAATGACTTATTAGAATTATAATTCATTATTATATTTGGTAATCATTGATAAACCTGGTAACGCCAAGGTACATTTACTCTAAAGTGTCAATAATGAAAATTGGAAATCAGTCAGTGAATACGACACAAAAAAATGAAAGAGGAGACATAAAAGAGGGATTTACTTAAGAAATTTAAGGAAGTGATGCTTGGAAAGCTAAGGACCCTCTTGTCCAAGCAGGTTTCCTTTTACTTTTAAAAACTTAACAGTGCTTCCTGGTGACCTAGTGGTTAGGATTCCGGGCTTTCACTGCCATGACCTCTGGTTCAGTCCCTAGTTGGGGAACTGAGGTCCTGCAATACGGGATCATCGTGCTTTGTGTAGACAGAAGGTACAGGAGGGCAAATTCCATATCTTTCCCATCTTTAGGGAAAGGTCAACTAACAGTAGCTCCTGTACTGAATACTCTCCACGTCCCGACCCTGCTCTTCATGCTTTATATGGATCCTGTCATTTAATCGCCACATTTTCTGGGGGAGGAAACTGAGTTGCAGCTAGTGAGAGTCCTGGAACTAGGTTGTGGACCCAGGACTTCTGATTCCAGAGCTCATGTCCTTTATCACCACACTCCAGAGACAAGAAAGAGTTGTTGAATGAATGAATGGTTATGGGAGATGAAAGTAGACATCTGCTGATTATCTGGAGGCAAATTAGGCCCATTCGGGCTTATCTGGATCAATCTCGCTTTACAGGTTTTTTCAGTATCAGTTACCTTAGTACAGCACTTGGCATCATGACCTTTTGGTTTACTCTTATCATTTCTTGCCTCCAGCATCTGCAAAAGATAAAAATTGAAGGCAATTTAAACCAACACATTTAGGCACCTTCCCAACCCTGACTCATGGAAGGTGTGAATCTGACCAACATGGAGCCCCGAGGATGAAAGCAATTCACTTTCATTATGTTGAGAGTTATTGATGAGACTTGTCCATCCCCAGTGAGGGTCGGTGGTCACCATGGGGTTCTGACAAAGGGAAGCTGGAGAAATTTTTAGCTCTTTTAGTTAGATTTTCACAAAGCGCTTTCTTTGTGCATTCCTGTAATGCCAGATAAACCAATGTTTCAAAGTAAGTATAAAAAATAAATGTTCTGGAGCTAAAGAGAAGCGTGTTTATTTCTCTGTTGTATGTCCTTAGTGCCCCTGCTTCAGTCGGCATGGATCATGGGAACTCAGCTATATTTGGTTTTGCACAGTGTTTTTCTTAATGCGTTGAGCTTAACTACATTGGTAATTTAAATGAATTGTTTTGCTCATTCATTAGTCTACCAGATCTTTCATTCATCCAGAAGGTATTTTGAAACACCTGTTCCATGACATATTCTCCTGCAGGAACTTACTGTTTAATAGGTGAAGATATGTATGAACATAAATACTAGATGTCCAGACAATAAAGAAGGGCTGCTTGAAGTGCTAGATGGTAAAAGCTTTATCAGTTGAGGGCAATTAACATACTTCTAATTGAACTACTTTTGGGACAGTTCCTGGAGACCACTTCTGAGTGGGTCTTGATGGAAGGGGGAAATTTAGATGGCTGGGGCTGTGGGGACAGGAATGGTTGGGACAAAGGGTTTTGTGGAGGATTTATGGATGTGAGGTTGGAAATGAAGAGCTATCATTTCTTAAGGCTCTATTTTTTATTATAACTGCATTACAAAGAACATTTTATTTAATCTTGTAAATATTATTATAAAGCAAGTGTTATGCTCTGACTGGAAAGAAGAGAAAGCAGAGGCTCAGTGAGAGAACCAGGTCAGGATTTAAACCCAGTCTCAGATCCTGATATCCTCACGTCTCCCTGTTCAAAAGCTCTCAAACTGTGGAGGGTGTATTCACCAGGCTAAATTCTCAGGTTGGTACCCTGGAATCTTCATGTCTGACTGTTCTCATTGCCAGGAGATGATCTGAGGTTCAGAGGGGAGCCCTGATCCTGTTCCAGGGATGCTGAGTTCAGCTGAAGCATGACCTGTCTCTTGTCAGCAAGTGACCATAAAGTCCCTAACCAACCTCATTCTCATCTACTTCCAGGTCAAGTCCCTGCTGCTGCTGATATTGGGACTCACCCTCCTGGGGGAGGCGGCAGCTCGGAAACCCCCCAAATCTGGGGATCCTGGCCTCTGCCCTCCTCTGGAAGACCACACTGTGAGGGTTGACATCCGCATCCGCAGGCAGAGCCACGGAGGTCTCCCCTCATACAACTTGCAGAACCGCTCCATCTCCCCCTGGGATTACAAGTACGTGCCGAGGAGACTGATCGCCACGTTCTTTGGGAAAATTTGTTAATTTATTCTAACCATACAGCAAAAAAGTTCAAAAATACAGAAAAAATAACAGTCCTTATATTGACTCTTAAAAGCAGAAATCCCACTCTTCCTGGGAGCTCCCCTTTTCTTGCTACTTTGGGCTAAGTCCTATGTGCTCAAAAGCCTGTTTTGCCTCCAACCTCTCCTGATGCTTTGCCTTTTTCTGCTTCATGCAGCCCTGGGTTTGGAATTGAGAAACTTTTTTTTTGTGTTGGAAGAGAGGGCTCTTTAAAGCAGCCCACATAATGGTCTCTGCGTGGCGATAAGGGGGGGACCAGAAAAGTCAGTTCAGAGAAAGCCACTCAGACTGGATTTCCATCTTCAAGGAGTGGAGAGGGCAGAGTGGAAGAGAAAGGCCAGCTGGGGAAGGAAGATGCTAGGTGGGGATGTTCAGGATACAGACTTGGGATTTTGTCTTACACAGAGATTCTTGGAGTACCAAGCTTTCCTTTAGACGCTCTAGATATAAGCATGAAAACAGAGTCTGGGGACTATTAGAAGTGTTTCTGGGGCTCACATGTATTTCCTTTCCTCAGAAAGGGAGTATGTACTATGGCTAGTAGGCTGGATTGGCCTTTATGCCTCCTGGCATGGAGGGAGAAATTGAAAGAAGGCATTGGATTCACAACCCCCAGGGCTTTGGTTTTCTTTCCCAAGCAGCAGGCTTTGGAGACTGTATATTGGGGGACCTCCTAGTGATGTTCCATCTCTAACCAAAGGATGAAAGATGGCTCTCATAATAAAAATGTTTAAAAAAAGGAACTAAAAAATCTAATATTTATGGATGCCAATGTTTTATAGTTGAGGGAACACAGACTTAGGGAGTTAAGCACCCCACCAGGGGCTGGCATCTGAGTCCAGGCTGTGTGTTCTGCACCTGCCCTGCAGCCCCGTGTTACCCGGCATCGCCTTCCCGCAGGTGGGCGTCCAGTGCTGCGGGGTCCCCATCCTTTGTGCATCTTTCCTGCCTGATCTCACCATCTGCTTCTCTCTGCTCTTCCTACAGCATCACCCGGGACCCCAACCGGTTCCCCTCAGAGATCGCGGAGGCCCAGTGCAGACACACTGGCTGCATCAACGCCGAGGGGGAAGAAGACTGGTCCCTGAACTCCGTCCCCATCCAGCAGGAGCTCCTGGTCCTCCGGAGGGAGCCACAGGGCTGTCCTGGCTTGTTCCGGCTGGAAAAGGTGCTGGTGACTGTGGGCTGCACCTGCGTCACCCCCATGGTCCGCCACGTGGGTGACTCGAGAGTGGCAGATCAGCTCAGCTGAAGAAGCTATAGAAACGCCCCTGCTTAGCCAGCACTCTGTCATGAGTCCTGCGTGGTTCCCATTTCCCTCCACTTCCCAGGTCTCTTCGTAATATCTGCATGGGATTCTCCAGGCTTTGTGTTAGATAGAGTCATTTTCTGGGCTTCAGAATTTTTATATTGTCCTGAGATGTTCCAATGACCCCTGAAAATAGATGGAGGAGAATGCAGGTCCCATTCTGCTTATGTGCTATGATGACCATCTCCTGGTCATACAGTCAGTGGGTGGGGGCTCTGCTTGCAAAACTGACTTCTGGGTCACAAAGTGCAACAGATATGTAACCACAATGTAAGAGAGTGTGGGAGGGGCTGTGTAGGATGGGGTGGGTGGCAAGGGTGGGGCTAAGGGTCTAGCACATGTTTATTAAAATTGCTAAATACAGATAAGGTTGGTCTGATATTTATACTTGTAAGGAAACTCTCCAGGTATTTATGATGTATTGACTATGTAAAATTCTGGGAGAAAAATTAATATATCAAGGGCTAATATAATAAACTGTTAATGGTTGAAAGACACTTGAGATCTTTGTGTTCTGTCTTAGCTTATATTCACAAACCTTGTGAACCTGAAGATTATGAAATTCTATATAGCTGTCATTTATTTTTGATGTTTCATCAGAGTGCTAGTGTCAGAATTACTAGTATTATTTGTGAATGATTTTGGTAATATTAGTTTTCTTCCCCCTAGCTTAATTGAGACTTAACTGATAAGTCACCTGGTGTAAATTTCAGTTGTACAGTGTAATGATTTGATACGTGTATGTATGGAGAGATGAGTATTACCACAAAAAGGTTTGATAACATTTCCATCCCTTCACCTAGGTATTTTTTTTGTGTGTGTGGGTGTGGTGGGAACATTTAAGATGTACTTTCTCAGCAAATTTCAAGAATACAATATTGTTATTAATAAGTATAGTCATCAGGCAGTACACTCAATCCTCAGAACTTATTCATTTCTTAACTGAAAGTGTGTTTCCTTAACCCAAAATCTGCCCATTCCCCCCATCCTCTGCCCTTGGCAACCATCAGTCTTCTCTCTGTTTTGCCATGCCTTGGAGAGTTACTCTATTATTAGTGATTCTTGGCGATTACCAGGAAAGTTAAGGAAAAATGGTGCAAACAGCTCACATTCCCTGGTAACTCTTTACTGCTCCATCTTCCTGGCTGTATTATTTTACAAAGTGAATATTCATTGGTCACTGTGGAAGGCACTGCAGACACGAAGAAAAGTAAGAAATGCACATGGTGGGTGGGCAGCCAACCGTCTTGGTAGCAGCCGCCCACAGAGCCCCTTGGTCACGAGAGCCATGGCAGTCACTGCATCTGGGGTCACTGGTGATCTTTCATGCATCTCTTATGTTTCTTGAGGACAGAGAGCTTCCGAGATTCTGGTCTCCCTACTGCTCTGAGGCTCACTGGTCCCTCTCTTGCCCAGATACACCGCGTTTCTTCCTTCACTGAAACACACCACCTGCTCAGGGCATATCTGCATTCTGCTGCCTTCCAGAGAGGATATAGGACATCAGTTCTCATTCTCATCTGCAACTTGGTCTGAGGATGGGCAGAGGCAGGAGCCCAGAAGCCATTTTTCACTCTTTAGTAGGGGCAACTTTTACTGTCTGCAGGTGGGGGTGGGGCTGGAGTCACTGGTAAGTGGGTTCTTCTTGCTGTGGCGTCTTCTACTTATGGTATAAACATTGACGTTTGTACTTAAAGTGCTCAGCCTCTGGGAATCTAAAAGAATATTTTCTCTCATAGTTATCAGCTTCATGAATTTTCTGTGAATCCCACAAGTCCATACAGGTGCTCTTATCTGTGCAGTGGACCTTTTTCTGTTCATTTTGGCAGTAATAGTCCTACCCTGAGGGTAATACATTTAGAAAGCTTCCAACTGAGTGGCGAGAGAAATATAGAGGTGAAGGACATTGAGGGAAAAAGTACATGTCTGTGTGTATTAAGATATTATCTCATTACACGTGGTCACATGTAATTTCAAAACAATGTGCCAAGTACTATGATCAAAGTCTGAAATTTAGAGAAGACACAGAAGACGATAGCTCATCAGGACATTCCAGAAAGGCAATGACTTTTGCACTGGGATGATTGAGTTGCTCTAGAGGAAAATGGGGCTTCCCTGGTGGCTCAGATGCTGAAGAATCTGCCCACAATAAGGAAGACCCGGATTTGACTCCTGGGTCAGGTAGATCCCCTGGAGAAGAGAATGGTAACCCACTCCAGTATTCTTGCCTGGAGAATTCCATGGACAGAGGAGCCTGACAGGCTACAGTCCATGGGGTCACAATGAATCAGACATGACTGAGCAACTAACAGTTACTTACTTAGAAGAAAATGAGAGAAGGGCAATCCTAGCAAAGGGAACAGTATAAACAAAAGCACTGAGGCTCAAGAAAGCTTTGTGTGCTAGGGTAACAGCATATGCCTGGGATAATGTGGGGGTACCTAGTGGGGTGCTGTGCTACGCTTAATCAGTTGTGTCCAACTCTCTGCAACCCCTTGGACTGTAGCATGCCAGGCTCCTCTGTCCATGGGGATGCTCCAAGCAAGAATACTGGAGTGGGTTGCCATGCCCTCCTCCAAGGGATCTTCCAAACCAAGAGACTGAACCCAGGTCTCCCACATTGCGGGCAGATTCTTTACCTCTGAGCCACCAGGAAAGTCCACACAGCGGGGGATACATATAAATAGTTCTTGAAAGAATGATTGAGTGAATGAATGAATGAACGTGGCAGTAGGCAAAGGACAGTAGCACAAGGCCCACGTGTGGATGGTATATGCTTTATTACAGATGTGGAAAGAGCACAGCTGTTATTTCATAGGAGGATTTTGGTGGCAAGTGTATAAAAGGGGTAAAAACTGGAAGGCCAGTAAGACGGTCAGAGAGAAGGCAATTTCTCCTGTGGTAGACTCACAAAGTTAGAGCTGGAGGGGCCCCTGTAGATCACCTGTCAACCTTTCTCATTTGCTGATGAGGCCCAGAGGAATTAGATGACTTGCTCAAGGTCAGTCACCTGGGTAATTAGCGACAGAAACAGGTTCACCGACTTCAAGCTCGTGACTTTTCACGTTGGTTCTATAGCATTTTCAATAAGGACCCATTGCAGTCATTTCTCTGCGGCCCTGGGCTGGCTCTGGGAACCGGGACGGAAGGACCTCCCCTGCCCCCATTTCCAAGTACGTTGTACATGGCGCCCCCCTGGAGGCTCGGCCCTGAGTTACAGCGTCCCTTCACGACTTGCAGATCCTTCCCCCCTCACAAGGTGGCGCACTGCACCCTTGTGTCTCCAGCTTCCCTAGCCTAGGTCCCTAGGGAATGATGGCTCCCTGTCTTCCCCTGGCAACCGCCTGAGACCCTCCTGAGCTCCTCAACTCTGCACCCAGCTATCTGGGACTTGGAAGTGTCTTCTTTTGCCTGTAGGAGAGTCAAGTTGAGTGGTTCCGGTGTCCAAACCAACCACTAGTATAGTGTGTGGAGAGAGGAAATTTTCTTTCCATGTGGAAACTTGAAAGCACATAGCCTTATCTTTTGATATCCACTTCATACATATGAAGACTTGGCTGAGTGGAAAAACACATTCTTATTTCTTTCTCTTCCTCTCTCCTCCTCCCCAAACCTGAATAAAATCATCTATACTTATGAGATGGCATAAGGAGAAACATTATGAAATTGGTTTGGTTTTCTTTTCTTTTCTAAGAAAGGTAGAAATTTCATTTGATGTTTAGACAACCCTTAACTTTGAATCTTGACTCTACTCTCTTCTGGTTGTATAAATGTAGGCAAATTAGTCCTTCTGAGACAGTTTCCTCACATGTTAAGTGGAAGATAATACCTATTTTAAATAGTAGTGTAATGTAATTGAAACAAAAAGTTTAAAAGACATTTGAGCACCCAGGAAATGGTGAGCACCTAGTTACTGTCATTATCCCAAGAGGCATAGAACTTACGTTTCCCATTTTGTTTGGCCCCAGGAAAGGAAATGCACATGGCAACCCATTCCCGTATTCTTGCTGGGACAACCCCATGGACAGAGGAGCCTGGCAGGCTACAGTCCATGGGGTCACACAGAATTGGACACGATTGAAATGACTTAGAATGCATGCACACTACGTTCCTAGCACTTTTCTTATAACTTGTAAGTTTGTACATTTTGACCCTCTTCATCCGATTCTCCCTTCTCTTATTCCTTGCCTCTGGTAACCACAAATCTGATCCTTTATGGAGGAAGCTATAGATTTAATTCATTAATAAAATTCCCCTGGGGCCCAAATGTTCACTGTAGCCTACATTGGGCAAGTTACTTAACTTCTCTGAGCCTCAGTTTCCTCAACTGTAAAATAAGGATGATCCTAATAGTTGCCTCATAGGACTGTGGTATAGATTAAATGAAATAATAAACATAAAGCAGTTTCTTGCTATAACTAGCTGTTACTAGTCTTACTTACAACCTCCTTATGCAAGGGCTGTGAATCAATGCTCCCACCTTTTAATTCTTGTTTTTCAGAGTCAAGTAAATCAATGTACCAGGCAAAGATGGGTTTATGAGTTGTTCGGAGTTGTGGCTGTTGCAAAACTCAGAGACTTTCTACTCCACTGGCTTACTTCTGTGGTTTTCTTACATGTGTCTGTAGGTGACACACCACAGCCCTTTGCATGGCCTGAAGGCAAGGACCAGACCTTGTTTGTGGTGGGGACAACACCAGAACCCATGTAACCATTTCCCACAACCCACACTCTCATGATTCTGACAGAAACCAGATCTGGGCGGCATAGCTCTGGATGGACTGCCTGTGGTGAAGCTGGGGTGGGGCCTGAGGGCGATGGGCCTCCCTGGAAGGGACACACCACTCATGGAAAATTCTGAAAATACTAATCCATCAGGCTAGAATTTCTTGGAATCCTGGGCATCTGCTTATTCCACACTCCTGGGCTTTTCAATATCTGTGAGAAAAAATACCCTGATTTCCCACAGACCACTTGTCAAACTCCCGATTGCCTTCTGCGGTCACCTCAAACCTCAAGTGAGATCCATTAAGAAAGCCTCTCGCTTTTGACTACATCTGCATATGGGATGCCAAACTTCTGGTTACTGTATTTGAAAACATGCAGACATAGAATTAAGTATAGAAGAAAACAACTCTTTTCTTTTTCTGTGTAGCTTAGCTTTGAGAAATCCACTAAGTACTATGATTTGGGTTTGCGAATTTGGATGAATTTAAGTTCTTGTCATCTGAAAATGACTTTTACTGGGTACAGTTACCGTATGGAGGTTACTCAAAAAACCAAAAATGGAGCTACCATATGACCCAACAATTGCACTCCTGGGGATATATCTGAAAAAAACCAAAACACTAATTTGAACCTGCATCTCAGTGGTTATAGCAGCATTATTTACAATAGCCAAGGTATGGAAGCAACCTAAGTGCCCATCAACAGATGAATGGATGAAGAAGATGTGTATATTTTGTTGTTGTGTAGTCCCTAAGTTGTGTCTGACTTT